TGTCTCTGCAGCAGGCGAGCCGGTGAAAATGCCGCCGAAGATAGAGGGAGTAGTCACTAAGTACCCTGATCTATTTGAAGAGCCGAAAGGGGTTGTTGACAGGGAGGTCGTCCACGCGGTAGAAATTATCCCAGGGTCTAGCATCCCGAACGGTAGGATCTATCGGATGTCTCCAGGCGAGCTTGACGAGCTTCGCTGGCAACTCAAGGAACTTGTAGAGAAGGGTTGGATCCGGCCGAGTGTCACCCCTTATGGATTTCCAGTCTTGTTTGTACCGAAGAAGGGGGGGACTCTGAGGATGTGCATTGACAATAGGGCCCTCAATGTCATCATTGTCAAGAACCGAGAGCCCCTACCGCGCATCGATGACTTGTTAGATAGAGTGCATGGGTGTCGGTACTTCAGTAACATAGATCTGAAGTCCGGGTACCATCAAATTGCAATACGGCCCGAGGATCAACACAAAACCACTTTTTAGACCACGTACGGTCTGTACGAGTTTGTGGTCATGCCTTTCGGCCTTTGCAATGCTCCTGACACCTTTCAGCACGCTATGAATCAGATCTTTCATGACTACTTGGATAAGTTTGACGTCGTGTCCCTCGATGACATACTTATTTTTAGTAGGATTGTCGAGGAGCATGTTGCGCACTTGGACAAAGTCCTCTGTCTCCTTCGGCAACACAAGTTTAAGATCAACGGGGGAAAATGCGAGTTTGGTTGCACCCGGATCTTGTACTTGGGTCATGAGATTTTCGTGGAGGGTTTGAAGCCCAATGACGAGAAGGTGGCCAGTATTCGTGACTGGCGACGTCCTCGGTCTGTGGCTGAGATGAGGTCTTTCTTAGGAATGATCGGCTACTATCGCAATTTTGTGAAGAACTATAGCATAGTTGCCGCCACTTTGACAGACCTGACTCGCCTTGACACCCCATGGGAGTGGAGAGAAAGCTGTGAAGCTGCTTTCAAACATCTGAAGCATGCTCTGACACACCACGAGGTCTTAAAACTTCCTGAGCCTGACAAGCCGTTCATAGTAACCACAATGCCAGCCAATATGGCATTGGTGTTGTGCTCGCGCAGCAGGAGGGCCAAAGTTGAGGTAAGTCGAGTACATGTCCAAAAAGATGTTATCTCAGAAGTTGGCTAAGTCCACCTATGAAAAGGAGCTCTACGCGATTTATAAGGCACTGACCCATTGGAGCCATTACCTCCTTGGGAGGTTCTTCATCGTCACGACTGACCATCAGACCCTGAAGTGGATGAGAATCCAGCCAGTGCACTCCAATGCCTTGAAGCGCTGGATCGAAGTCGTTGAACAATATGATTTCGAACCCCAATATCTGAAGGGGGAGTACAATAAAGTTGATGATGCCTTATCGCGTAGGCCTGCGGATCACTGAGTTCGGGCTTGCGGACGATGTCACTCGCTCTTTGGTGGAAGCTTATAGCGAGGACTAGTTCATGTCCGAGATCAAACGCAGACTCGAGGCGAAGGATAAGGTGACTTCTGCCAAGTTTGAGTTGGTCAACAGCCTGCTGCTCCTTGAGAAGGCCGGGAATAAACGTTTGTGTGTGCCCGTAGTTTGTTTCTAGGAGAGTGTCATGATGCCACCGGACATTTTGGCTATAAAAAGACTACAGCCAATCTGCTGCAGAGGTTCTGGTGGCCCACGATGATGAAAGACGTGAAGCTGTATGTGGAGACTTGTCAGGTCTGTCAGAGGGACAAGCCACATACACAGGCTCCTCTTGGGCTTTTGAAGCCCCTTCCGATTCCGGAAAGGCCTGGTGAGAGTTTGTCCATGGACTTCATGGATACGCTGGTCACCAGCAAGAGCGGAATGCGCTACGTCTATGTCATTGTGGATAGATTTAGCAAGTACGCTAGGTTAGTCGCAATGCTGGCAACAGCTAAAACGAGTATGTGAATAAACTGTTCAAAGAGAACTGGATCAGAGATTTTGGACTGCCAAGTCCATAGTCAGTGACCGTGATGTGCGATTTACTAGGGAACTGTGGAAGGTCGCAGTGGCAGAACAGGAAACACAGCTGCAGATGACATAAGTGAACCATCCAGAGGTGAATGGGCAAGCAGAGCAGTTGAACCGCGCTGTACACCTGCTGAGGCACTACATCAAGCCTAATCAGGCAGACTGGGATGAGAAACTTGCTCTCATCCCCAGCCTGTACAATAACGCTGTGCACAGCGCAACAGGAGTGAGCCCGAACAGCCGATCACTAACCTTCAAGCCTAGACTGCCCTTAGATTTCTTACTACCTGAGAACCAACCATCTGCTGCACCAGGAGCATTAGAATTTGCTTATCGTTATGAGCGTCTGATGCAGCAGGCTGTTGAACAGATGCACAAGGCTCAGGCCACCGTCGCCCGTCTACGTTTCAGGTAGGTGAGAGAGTCTGGGTCAAGTCCTCAGAACTGGGACAGGAGCACGGGATCTCCCGCAAGCTCATGCCACAGTACTTCGGACCATGGGACGTCCTAGATGTTATAGGAGACGACCCGGATGGACCATCATATGTTATTCGCATCCCTGGTCACTTACGAACTAACCCTGTTTTTCACGCCTCCAAGCTTGCACCTTTTAGAGAAACAGATCAGTTCCCCTCTCATCGCCCAATGCTGCCCCCAACCATGGATAGAGAGGTCGACATCGACGACATTGTGGACCACAGAGAGATGTCAGGGTCAAGATCCACAGGCAGGGGACGTCCCCCGAAACCGAAACTCCAGTTTCGAGTTCGATTCAGACATCACACTGATCCGAAGGAAGGCCGGTGGTTTACCAAGGATGAACTTATGCAGACCGCTCCTCAGGCAGTCGCTCAGTTTGAGAAGTCTCTGCAGAAGGGAAAGCGCCAGATTATTGAAGACAACTTCTCACAGGACTATCGAAGTATGGAGGAGGGAATGCGAGGCCTAAGGCCCTGATGAGCCCCTTCGGCCGTGTTTGCACTGTTGTCGGCCGCCCTAAGTGAAGGCAGGCTCGACTCAGGCCAAGGGGCCCTTTTTTAGGCCACCACGCAACTGGGGAAATTCAGACAGTTGTGCGGCGTCAGTTGGTTACAAGCGCCCAGGCCCAGGCAGCCATTTTGCAAATGTATCTGAAGTACATCCTGGGCCAGACGCGCACATGGACCGAACACAGGCTGTGAGCAGTTGGGTACGGGCAACTAACTCAAGCTCAGGGCCTGTTCTGTAGGGACTGGGGCTCAGCCACTCAGGCCTACGGGAAGCTTCTAGGCCGGTGCCCAGTACCGCATTACCGCACGCAGCAGCCACAGGCCACTTCAATATAGGGAAGGGCCTGCCCACGCATTGGACATTCGGGCACTGGCTGCATGCTGCGCAAGCGCTGCTCCGCTAATGCTGGCCAGCGCTCACACGCTCACGGGCAAGCTGGAAGGAGCAGGCAGCCATAGCCGAGCTGCGCTGCTGTATGCTGGATGGGGCGCATGGTGGTTCTTGGGTGCATGTGGCATCTGTGAGTTGGGGATCGAGGTTGTGAGTGATACGAGAGACATACCTGGTGCTCGAGGCGTACGGCATTGGCCGAGATCTGCTCGTACTTCGGGGAGCTGTTGACGTCATCAGTGGCATTGTAGATAGGCTAGATAGGATCTGCCATCTGTAGTCTGGGCGCCGAGTGCCAGATAGGATATCGAGATTAGTTCTTCGTTGATGATGATGAGACTATTCCAGCGTTGTCAATTATGAGCTTTTGCTGTGCTCTTATTTGGTGAAACTCGTGATGCAATTCTGCTATTGGTTCGAGGTCACAACTATCTGGACTCATGTGTATGATGCTGTTTGATTTCTGAAGTTCGCTATCACTCATTGTCCTTGCAATAGAGAACACTGAAAAACAAGAAAGATCCTGGATTTGGGCCGTCTTCAGTGGGCACAGAAAAGCCCCACCGCCAACGGGAATTTTTTTTTATTTAATTCCCACAGTTTTTACAAGCCCGGGATATACTGACCGGCCAGACAGCCAGGCAACCTGCACAAGTGCCCGACCGGTTGTCCCTGGTAACCTAGCCTGGAACAGGAAGAAAAAAGCCACAAACAAAAACAACAAAAAGGAACCAATTTAACCAGAGAAGTTCTTCCAGGTACGAACATTCCTGATCGGTTCCAGACGGTGATCTACCTTGTGCGAGGAAGTCCTCGAATCACCAACTCAGTTGTTGCGCTTTCTTTTCTTAAAAAGGGATGGCCGGGTGTGCGATGTGAATGTTCATAACAACATCCCCCCTCCCACCCAGATGAGTAGGTCCAAAATTGCAGAAACTTTACCTCTATTGTAGACGACGAAGCATGCTTGAGATGAATCCATCCACCAAGGAAATGGTGTCGCCTCCATAATCAACAAGCAGAATATAAACATTACCTTTATCAGGCTTTATGCACGTGATGCCTAAATGAGTAGATCCAAAATCACAGGAACCTGACCTTTATGCACGCAATGCAGCACACTTGAGAGGACCGTGGGGGGGGGGGCGGGACAACTAGATAATAACTATACTCCCAGACAAATACAAAGACACACATGCACACACGCACAAGCACACAGACATACACAGAAAGAGCAACGTCGATGAAGTTGAAAGCAGCAAAGTAACCAAACAGGTTGAACATATATCAACTTTCAATAAATAGTGGTATACTGAGCTTCCGCTTTTGCTCCTCCTCCACCACATCATCATCATCGTCCTTCCCCTGCGATCAATATGGAACATTGGAAAGTGATTGCCAGCCTTCCCCCTGACTTTTTTATATATAAGAATTTGGAGCATTTCTTGATTTATGTTTCTCCTCCTTGCACAGGGGCCATGTGATCTTCTGTGTAATATCGTTCCAATATCCCAAAGGACGACAATGTTTTTAAGTCACTTGCTGGAACAGAGGTGTTGGGGGGTGGGCAGAGCATGAGAAAGCACAGACAAAAACAAGGTGAGGTCCTCACGTCCGAGAAGATACCCTGAGCTGGAACATGCTGTACCCTGCAGAACCGTGGAAAAGTCGATGACGAAGCAGGTCCACATCAGCTATGGTCCATGACCTACTCGTTTGACTTGGACGCTGAAAAGAATGGCAACAGCACCGACCACCCCAAAAGAGATGTCTCGACCTGCAAGCTACCCATCGACAGCTTGACAAATCCACTCCCGCTCGCCTGACAGCTGACGAGTGTGATAGGCGTAACAACCGCAACACTACCCCCTCCATCCGTAACGGAACCAGTCAATCAAATAAAAAAAACTCAATCAATCAATCAATCCAATTAATCAATCAATCCATCAACCAGCCAACCAACCAACCAATCAATCAATCAATCAATCAATCAATCAATCAACCAATCAATCAAATCAGCCAACCAACCAGCCAACCAACCAACCACCGATCAATTCATTCATTACCCAATCGATAAGGCAATCGACTAATGAATCAATCAATCAACCAGAAGGTGATCAGAGCCTCTCCCTCTGACGTGTGCCCCTGTCGATGGTGCGGGTGGCTGACCAATACAACAGATAGGACAGATTCAATCGCACCTACCAAATGCTGTCCACATACCCTTAACAGCTGACTATGACTCCAGACCACATAATCAGCCAATCATTTTTTTTACCATGAATACTGCAGATATCAACCACTCGATCGAAAGGGGCTCAACTGCCTCATCATGATCTGCAATAGATTAGCCACCGATCTGAACAGACTGTCTGCAACACCAACTCATATCGCAGATTTGCCAGCAGGTTGTCCTTCCTCTGATCAAGTACATTCACTCACACGGACATGTGGCCACCACAGGTCCTTTCTCACATGGACATGTGGCCACCACAGGGCCTTTCTTACATGGACATGTGGCCATCACAGGTCCTTTCTCACATGGACATGTGGCCACCACAGGTCCTTTCTCACACGGACAAATGACCACCACACATTGGCCAAAAAGCTAGCACCCTCATCACAAAATCAACCAGATCAACTGGGGACAGGACATGTTGCCACGTCTTTCCCATGCATTTCAGCAACAGGTCATAATCATCATCATCATCATCATCATCATCATCATCACTACCTCTGGGCACTCAACCAATTTGATGTCACGTTGTGATATTCCACATGTGGGTAAATAAGTAGGTACACGAGTCATTCCCTGGTGGACAGAAGACCCTGCACACAGCATACAGGTAGCAAACAGAATGAATGGTCAGTTGCTGATGGTGATCAATCTGTATCACTAACTTCGACTGTTATATATGCAAGGAAAATAAGCAACAGCGAGATGACAATTCCAGATTACACCATCACGTTGAAAGCCAGATAGTCACACCGTGTCTAGAGAGCAGCATTGCACCAATAATACACCAATGGAGGTTCGTAGCACTGAAAACCAATGTTCATGGAGAGCATACTCTCTCCTCTCAACACAAGAGTCCAGTTTCTTCACACTCTCACTTGGCGCTCAGTGCCCAGCCTACTCCTACACAGCAGCTACAGACTACGAAATGACAATGCAACCGTTGACATCAGCGGCAGCTCGAAGTACTTGAAGATGTCGCCCATGCAAACCATCGCCAATACAAGGTAAGTGCCCTCACATCATCATCATCATCATCCTTCACCTATCCCCTGACTACACCCACATCTGTCCTCTGTTTCACCCGAAGACCACCCCTGCGCCTCACTGTAGTCCAAGCCCACCAGCTATGGTGGCTGGGCTATGGCGCTGCCCTCAGCAGCGCCCTTCTTCCCTCCACGACCGCACGTGCTGCACCTCGCCTCTCAGCGCCAGCCAGCAGCCGCAAGCCTTTGCTCCAGCAGCGCTGCCGCTAGCATGCGAGTGCCCTGAATGAGGCTGCCAAGGGGAGAGCTCTTTCCTTTATGGAAAGAGCCGGCCTGCTCGCGCAGCCTGGCTGGACTGGCCTGGGCCCAGAAGCTTCCGGAAGGCCCCAGGAGGCTGCCTGGATGCAGCAGCAACTGGGATGCTGGGCCTCGTTCAGTTGGGCGCCCAACTGTCTCTGTATGAGGCTGCGAATCACGCCCAGGGCCTGCATTCCTTGGAAAGGCCCGGAAGGCCGTGGAAATGTCTGTGTAGCACGGCCTGAGTTTCTCTCAACCAACTGGCGCGTCGCAACTGCCTGGACCTCAAGTATGAAATTGACAATCGAGGGCCTCAGGTGATTTGTTAGGCCCGCCTTCACTTAGGGCGGGCGAAGGCGGGCACCTCCGCCTTCACTTAGGGCGGGCAATGCTGCATACAGGGCCCCATAGGCCTGCCGAGGACCCAGATCCTCGCATACATATGGTTACCGGCCTGAACGTTCAGGAGGGTTCGGACCCCCCCCCCCCGATGTTCGCTGGTTTGGGCCCCGTCCAACCAGTGGTTCAGTGCCCGCCAAACCCCATTTCAGGCCCTATTTTTTTTATTTTTTTTTAAAGGTAAAGCATCACCTAGAGCAACCACCTCTTGTTGAGCCAAAAACAAATAAATCGTAGAAGATAGGGGGGTTCAATATTTTCGGAACCCCCCCCCCCCCCCCCCCCTCCCTATATTGATTGATTGATTGATTGATTGGTTGGGGTGGGGTCACCATCCCCCGCGAGCCCTCCCCTAGCCAACCACTCAATCAATCAATCAACCTGTAACGGGCGTGAGGCTGAGGGTGAGCCGAGGGAGAGGAGAGAGAGGGAGAGAGTGAGAGCACACACACACACTCACTCACTAGACTCGACGGACTCGGACTGAGGGTCGGACGCAGACACAGTGGTAAGGCACAAAGTCGAAGTCTTGGATCCCGAATGCCGAAACAGCAAGTCACACTGAGTACGAGTACAGCAGCAGAGAACTGGTACGAGTCTTCCCCCCCGTACCGTACGGGGAGCCGGTATAAGTACCGGTGACACGTACGGTACCAGGGGCATTTCTGCAAAGGCCCCGAGGGCAGAACTCAAAAATGCACTATTTGAAAGTGGCGCCCAAATTGCAGCATGGCGCCAGTTGTCCAAAATCCTATGGTACCAAAGGAGGGGTTTGGAAAAAGGGTGCCAGGCCGAGAACGGGATGCAGCCAAAACCGCAAAAGATAGACCAGGGATCGAGCCCTGGTGAAGTCTGTAACACTATCCCCTCCCTCTAGAAGGCAACGTCCCGGCTGCCAAAAATCATGAAGCAATGCTGAAATCTGTGAAGGACGGGACGGGGCCGATCACTGGTTAACAAGT